CATATATCTAATGGTGAACAATATTGCGCAATTTGGTATGATTGCTTTCATTTCCTGTAATTAGCTCCTTTTATTTACTATTATTAAAGGCAGTTTAATAGTTCCTGTGAATTCAATTTCCTCTAGTGGGACACGAAAGATACTGCTGTGCTGTGAGGGCGGTCTGAAACATCAGTCACAGTTTAATATTTCATAAATTATGAAATCCAAACGACTGATGAACACTCAGGAAATGAGAGAGGAAAGCTTTCTGGCACAAATCCCAAATGCTGGAAAGTGCTGGACTTTGACTGTTTGATTGCAGAGACGGTCACTGACCCCGCAGCCACTCATCATGAGAAAAACAATAAACCAAACCAGCACTTAAAAACCCCACTGATTTAAACCTCTGTATTCATATTAAACACATCAACAGCTGCGTTATTGGGTTAGGTTGTTACTTTGGGTTCTTCCTATTTTTCTTCATGTAGTGTGCGCGAGGCTGAAGGTGGAAACATCACCAGTGACAGAAAAAGATAAACAGGACCGTCTGCACAGTGAAAAAAACAAGGCTGAACTTGAACTTGAAAAAACCACTGACTGAGGACAAAGTCTATCTACCACTACACTATATGTGTTACTCTATAGATTATACTACACACTGTACAGACGTGTGTGTGTTTTTATGTGTGATCATACATTTTCTCCGCAGATATGTCAGCAGGGTCATCTCAGGGTCTGCGTTCTTCTCAACAATCTGCAGCACAAACACAAATCAATCTTTCAGAGTACAAAGAAGCTACATTTTAATCAACATAAAAATACTTTAAATACACAGAAAAATGTCACCGGGACATGTAAATCAGTGTTTTACAGTTAATTATCAACAAGTTATTCACTGCTCTGAGACAGAAAAGTGATGGCAGCTGAGGTAAACTGAGTGCAGCTCATGTCCTTCCAGTTTAAATTTACAGAAACAAACTAACAGTCAGTTACCAGGAGGACGCTGCAGCTATAAAGTCAAAATAAACTTAATTTACATTAATCGAACATTCTGAATCAGAAATAAAACATTAAATGTTGGTCTAGATTTTAGTAAATAAAAATATACTAAAACTTGCATGGACTCTGGTTTAAGCGTAGTATAACTGACCAATGTAACATTCTGAATATTTTGAATTAATCATGTATTTTAATGAATGAATCTTTCATTTTGGTCCCTCTCAGAAACATTAAAGCTTTCACTGAGTATCAGCTACACATTCACAGCTTACTATGATTTATTTTACCAGCTTTTTTGTTTTTTTTGTTTCTTATCAGAAGCAAACTGAATGTCATTATGTGTTTTTAATGCACCGTGTTGCCTGTAAGTCATCAATGTTTTGCTTTCACCAGCATTTTGTTCCACATTCTGGAATACTTCAATTTTAAATCCCAACTTTTTATTCAGCTGAACAAACTTTTGTTGTTTTTTCTAATTACTTTACTAGTTTTTTGCTCATTTGTTCTTTTATTTGTGAAAAAAATATATTGATAGAATCAACTTACTTGGATTACAATAAAAAAAAAAAATCAGGAGATTCAGCTGAAATTTGAAGCGCAGTCTAAATTCTTACATAATTAAGTGTTCATGATCTTTGTTATCGTTAAGATGGATTAAGCATGATATAAATGTTACAGAGGCAGACTGAGATCACAGTAAAGTCACTACGAATGAGCTAAAAGATGAATATTTTTACCTTCTTCCCATTAACAAAGAAGATGAGTTCATCAGACCCAGACCGGGTCTTGGTTCCTGTCCGGTCCCCCATGTTGCCGGTCTCCTGTGCCCTCTCCATGGTGCTGGTGTTTCTGGTCTTTAATGATCCAGCCTCGTGGGCTCAGTTATCTGGAGGGAGGTATGTCCTGTCCAGCCCCCCTTCTCCTCCCACAAAAACCTGATGGTGCGTTCAGGAGCATAGCAATCCCTCAGATGTTCCGATCGCGCTCAATAATCAAACGTTAAATCATGATCAGTCATGTGTGGATTAACTGATAAAGTCTGAAACTTCTTTCCCCTCACTTAAAAAAATAAATAAAAATGTGTGAATGACCTGCAGTACTAACATTGCAGATGTTCCTGTTCTGAACAATTATTCACAGCTATGAGCATACCTGGAGGTCAAAGGTCACAGTCCTGTATATAGTTGTGTAATAGCTGTATACTAGTTACTGGATAACTATTATGCGAATTTCAAGCTGACACAGCGGCTCACGAGTTCCAGTCTGTCAGGTCAACTTCCTGCTCAGTTTTTATTTAGCTTGAAATAAAGACTGAAAATTTATCTTTGCATTTGACAGAACCCTCAAACTACATCTATTGACATCAAATACACATGAAAATCATG